TAGAGGGGTGCTGGGGGGACTGAAAGGTTCTAAAATGGGAGGGATGTGAGGGGATGTCCCTATAGGAGGTCTGATGTTGGGGCGGGGGGTACTCACGGGTGGCCCCCGAGGCGTCGAGCTGGACCTGCAAGCCACAATTGCCAGCAAATGCCATTTCCAGCAGGCATGTGACAAGGCCCCCATCGCTCACGTCATGCCCTGCACTCAGCGCCGACTCTGTGGGTGAATGGGCACGGCGTGGGACAGGGTAGGTCCGCATAGCTTCCTCATGGGTGAGGGGTTAATGGTCTCCCACACCCACTGCACCAGGTAGTGAGGGGTTAACACCATCCGGGGCAATTCCCCTGGTTCCCCCACTTACCCTCAAGGAGCTCCTGGGTGACGTGGAAGGCAGCGGTCAGGATGCTGGGGTTGTCCACGTCGGGGCAGATGTCTCCCAGCTGCCCATAGCACTGCGCCAGGGCACTGCCCCCCAGACGGTGCTGCCCTGGGTTAAGCGCCACATGCAGCAGGGTCCCTGCGCAGGGGAGAAGGGGGTCAAGCAGGGGCAAGGCGGACCAGGCCCAATGCACTGTTACCTCAAACCCTGCTCCCATCTACAACCCCTGGCGGGGCGGGTCCAGGCCAGATCCCAGTTCTGGTTCCAGTCCCAGAGCCCAACACCAATACACGTTTCATTGATGGGGCTGCCCAAACCAACCACGAAAATGTTCCATTTCTTTTAAGCAACCTCGTGGCTGAGAAAACTCGGATGGCTGCTAGTCATGGCACCCTTCCCAAAGGACATTGCATCATAAATGTTGTGTGTGCTAGAGAACCTAGAGAGAACTGTCCCCCCCCACAGCCCCCCCTTGCAACCCATCACCTTTGCCATCAGGGCACTTGAGGTCAGGGGTGACAGTGGCAGTGATGTCAGGGCAGACGGCATAGGCTGAGACCACCAGTGTCCCTGTGAGTCATAGTAATTGGGGATCAGTGACCTGTGCCTGGGTGGGAAGCGGGGATTGAGCCCCAGAACGGCGGAGAGGAGGGTGTCACGAAGGGGAATTTCTCACCAGGAGCCAGCACGGTGTGGGAGCCAACACGGGCGGCCATGCTGAGCGAGTCCTTGCCACCGTCCACGGCCACGCCCAGCTGGCTTAGAAGTGCCACGGCCGCCCCTACAGCCTCGGCCAGT